GTACATTTAACATTCTTAACACTAGTCAGATAATGTTTCCTTTCCTTTTGTGAAGTAACACCATTGCTTTTTCTCACTTCAGTTTATCCTCTTTTCTGCATTAGTTCCTCTCAGTTTATTCACATCACTATTCTGTACCACAAGTATGATTCTCATGTCTATTCTTAGCCACTGCTCTTGAATATCATACAGTCACTTCAGGCTTGGACAAATTCTGAGCCTCAGTGTATTCATATATAAAGCTGGGGTAATGATCATATTGCCATTTTAGGGGGATTGTGAGGATTAAATGAAATCTGTAATTAAGCCTTCAGTGAATGCTAGATGAAGTAATAATTAAGATCTCACAATTAAGTATTCTTAGTATCCTTTCAAAGAAATTACCTGTTTACTATTTACATCATCCATTGACTTTCCTACGTTCTAGAAGTCTTAAATACAAAATCAACATGGAGACTTATTTACAACCTCATTAATAAATTAGTGTTTGTTTCTGTTTCTGTGTGGTATCTTTTTCTCAGGTTTTGAAAGTTGTAGTAATGGTGTAATATCGAATAAAGCACATCAGTCATATTGCCATAGTAATAAACACCAGTCATCCAATTTGAATGTACCAGAACTTAACAGTATAAATATGTCAAGATCACAGCAAGTTAATAACTTCACCAGGTAAGTAATTTCACTAATTTTTGCATTAATATAAGCAACCTAGTTATAAGTGTAATCATTGTAATAATGTTGAAAGAACTTGAATTACATGACCCACAAAGGGGCTCTGGGAGTTCCTAAGCCCTCAGAAAATAAAAGGGTAGGGAGTCAGTTCCTCAAAGGTTTTTAGTCTCCTACTATGCGAATGAGCTCTTTCCTTAGTTTCTTCCTCTTCTCTACTACCCTTTTCCCTCTAGTAATGTTTTAAGGACAAATTCAGGACTCCATGCATTGTCTTCCTGCCAGCCACAGAGCTATACAGATGATCACATAAATGCCATTTGTTAGGTTTTCACAGTACTTAAGACACAGTAGTATATTTAACCTTGAATGGTAACATAAGATAAATTTACAACTAATTTTTTTCTGTGTTTTTTTGGTGTAAATGTGTAGAGTGTTTTTTAAGTTCAGAATAACTAACTTTACAAAGAATCATTTTTGAAAGCATGTCTTTAAGTAGCTAGCATATAGCAGATGTTTAAGTCATTTAGTAAACAATGTGAGGATAGTTTTGAGGATTTGTTGGGGACCAAACACTATGCCTAGGTAGTGTATCTGATTTCAAAGAACTTTGCAAGAAGATGTATCTCAGTCAGTGTACTATGACCGTTGACATACTCACGTTTAATATTTATGAAACCTAAAAGTTCATGAAGTGAAATTATTTGAATTGAATACTACTGTGCAGAAGCAAATTCCTGTGAATTCACCCTGCCCAAATCATCTGGAACTGAATTAATTTAATATTGGTTTTGGCTCTAACAAACCAGTTGGTTACACCGCATTTTCAGGAAATGGCCATCATTGCAACATTTTCTTCTTAAAGGAGAGAGAGCCTAAATTTTAGCATGGAATCTTAATGGAAATATGATTATGGAGAAAGGAGTCTATGTTAAAAAAATCTGAATTTAAAAATTTGGAGATTAAAGTTTCTGGGTTATCTGTCACACATAACAAAAATTTACTGAAGTAATGGTGTGTGTGATTGATACAACTTATAATGGAGAACCACAAAAGTGTATGAGAACGGCAGAAAAATAATCTTTCACAGCAGAGAGGAATATATTGGAAAATATAAAATCAAAATATTATAGTTTAAAAATATATGGAAATTTAAAAAGTTAAGTACTTCATCATGCTTTGTAATAATGTACATTGGTACTTTATCCTTGATCGAGGGTTCTGCTATTGTTTGAGGGTGAGATTGCAGGCAGTTTGTGAGTTTTTCTCTTAAATACTGTTCCCGCAGCAGGAAGTTGCTAAACAGATCTATTATGACCTGAGTGGAGGGAAGCAAGCTTAACTGAAGGGTTTGGTGACACAGTATCCCCCTTTGTCTGGCGTATAAAATGGAAAGAAAGTAAACTTTTGAACTGCTTTAAACTATGTTATTTTGTAGTTGGTAATGGCTTTCTTTACAACAGTACTGTGAAGTAGGCAAAGATGGTATTAACTATTTCAACCATTTTGCAGATGTAGAGCCAGATGTCAGAAAAGTAAATGACGTTTTTTTCCTTAAGGTCAATTAATAGTAGCTAGTAAGTTGCAGAGCTGAGGCTGATTTTCAGGATTTGACTTGCAAACTTGTGCTTTTTCCCTAATACCACCCACTATCTGAAATGCTTATCTTCCTGCCCTCCCTTGCCTCCAGTATAACTTCTGTCCAGGCTGAGAAAATTCAAGTTCAGATGTCAGTTCTTCCAGGATGTTTTCCTTGATTTACATTCGCATCAAATGTGTCATGTTTTGTGATTAACTTTCCTCTTAGTACTGGTCATAATTACTCTGTAATATAATAATTTCATTAGCTTTTTGTAGGTTGTTTGCTACAGGGAGGCAGAGGCTGTTTCATAATTTCTTTCGCACCTAACAGGGATAATACCTCAGACGCTCTTTAATGTGTGTTAAATGAATGAGTGCCTTTCAAATACTAAATTGAGTTATTAAAAAAAAAAAGTTTAGTATTTTTTAGAAGACCACTGAAAGCTGTGATGGTAAGGATTTTCTTTTTTTTAAAGTTTGGTTTTTCTTACCAATTTTTGAAGTTTGTCAAGATTGTAAACAAGCTTTCCTGATTGAATAAGTCTTCTCTGGAGTCCTAGGGCCATCCATATCCCCCTTTTCCCTAGATCGTTCATGTTTTTTTACCTTAAAGATTTTACTAACAGGAATGTATGCATGCACGCACGCGCGCGCGCGCACACACACACACACACACACACACACACACACACACCCACCCACCCACCCAAGGTGTTAGAATTTGTTACCTCTGCCGATATTACACATAGTGGGTTTTGCTCCTCTGTATTTTTTTTTCCACAAATGAATATATATTGCTTTTGTAATAAGAAATGTCTTTTTTATCTAAGCATTTCCTAAATTTTCATCAAGTATTTATTTCTAGATTATATAATTATTACCTAGATCTTCATAGGAGAAATCCTAAAGATTAGATATTTATTATTACTTATAAGAGTGCTGATGGGTCTGAAGGACATACATTGATAGCTTAAATATGTCCAAGTACAGTTATTGACACACAGCTATTCATTGAGTGTGGAATAAGTGAAAACTGGAAACTAAGACATCAGTTTAAAAATTAAAATTCATTAGCCGGGCGTGGTGGTACGCGCCTGTAGTCCCTGCTACTTGGGAGGCTGAGGCAGGAGAATCGCTTGAATCCAGGAGGCAGAGGTTGCAGTGAGTTGAGACTGTACCACTGCACTTCAGCCTGGGTGACAGAGCAAGACTCCATCTCAGAAAAAGAACGAAAAAGATAAAAATTAAGATTCAGCAATACTTAAGCCAGTAAGATAGACTATGAGAGAAAAAAAGGGCCATGTGGTAAAAAGGGATGAAAGAATGAAATGGAGTCGTTTTTTAAGTTATAACTTAACCTTGAAAGAGTGTATATTTTTAAATATTGAAGACAAATGCCAGAATGCCGACTATTTAAAAATAGCCTAGAAGTGGTTGAGTATGAGGTCCGGAACAAGGTGAAGTGGGTTCCAGGAGTGAGATGTATTTGTTTTGAGAGTGAGTCTAAAAATTAATAGGATTATGTGGAACTATGATTTCTCCATATTAATATAGAGTCATAAACCCACTACATTTTAGCATATGTACTTTTTTTCTTCCCTTACCTCCAGGGGTAAAAATGTGTTAAAAGTTAGCTACGTGTTTGGCTTTGAATACCTTCAAGATTTAACTAAATACCTTTTTTTTTTGCAGATTTCTATTGCCTTATGAAGTTAGTTTATTCGTAGGCTATATAGTTCAGTAGTGATTTATTTTAAACTAAGCTGCAAATATGATATTTCTAAAATTAGGTTTGTTTTTCGTTTTCAGTAATGATGTAGACATGGAAACAGATCACTACTCCAATGGAGTTGGAGAAACTTCATCCAATGGTTTCCTAAATGGTAGCTCTAAACATGACCACGAAATGGAAGATTGTGACACCGAAATGGGTCTGCAGTGATATTTCTTACATTTTTAATAAAAAATGATGGCTACAAGGTTATGTTTTTACTTGTACTGATTCACAGCTGATGACCATAAACGAGATTTAAAGATGTATGTGCTGTAGGACTTGACAGTAATGCATAGCACTTAAACTCTCTTGTTTGAGTGGGCTGCTAGAGAAAGCAGAGTTACCTTTCAGCTACAGGCAGTGTTCTTCGATGAATTGCTTAGGCTCAGGTTTAGTGCTGTCACTAATGCAGCAGTACTGACTTACTGATGTTGAGCCTCTAGGCTGTTTTAGGTTGGGAATGAGAAAACTTATTATATTTCAGTATGGTCAGTAAGGCCAAATGGGCAGATGATTTTACAAATTCTTGTTTTGGAGATGGAGTCTCATGCTGTTGCCAGGCTGGAGTGCGGTGGCACCATCTTGGCTCACTGCAACTTCTGCTTCCCAGGTTCAAGCGATTGTCCTGCTTCAGCCTTCCGAGTAGCTGGGACTGCAGGAACACGCCACCACGTCTGGCTAATTTTTTGTATTTTAGTGGATACACGGTTTCACCATGTTGCCCCGGCTGGTCTTGAACTCCTGAGCTCAGGCAATCTGCCCACCTCAGCCTCCCAAAGTGCTAGGATTACAGGCGTGAGCCACCGTACCTGGCCTACAAATTCTAATCAGTATTTCTTAAATGGGTTTAATGTAAACATATCTGACTATGCATAGTACTATCCCTGGTATATAGTAGGTGCTTAAGTATGACCTCCCTCACCAAAAAAAAAAAAAAAAAAAAACCACCAACAAAATTATGTGGCTGAAAGACAAATTAGCGTGCATAATTTTATTTTGTAGACAACTTGTATTGTAAATTGTCCCATTAGCAAACTATCCCATCAAATGGAGAATGAAAATTACAGATTATTTATTTGTTGGAATTCCACGGCAGCATTAGATTTCTTATTATTTTGAGATGGAGCGGTATTAATAAAATTATTTTTAAAAAAGAAATGCAGCTTTGTTTTACTCTTCAGTATCAGCCATCTCAGTTTCCAAAGGGTAGTTTAAGTATAGTGATAAAGAGCAGGAGTTCTAGAGCCAGATTACCTAGAGTTGATTTCTGCTACTGCCATTACTAGCTTTGTGACCTTGGAAAAATTACTTAACTACTCTGTGTATGTTTCTTCATCTGTAAAATGGATATAATAATAACAACTTCCTAAGTTATTGTGCAAAGAAAATGAATAATCTGAAAAGCTAATAGCACAAACTGCTTGGGAAATACCATCATCATCACCATTACCTGCTTCATTATTCATGATTTATATATTATTAGCAATTTATACAGTTAAATTATTTGGTTGTCAATCAAGATATATAAAACTATTTTCTCAAAGTGGTATTTTTCTAAAAGCAATGCATTTAATTTTTTCTATTAGTATAATATGCTGTCTTCTGTATTTTTATCATAGTCATTTCGCTTCTGTTAGCTTTCAGGAACATTTTTTACCTCTATTATGTCAGTTAAGGCAGCCTGAGAGGCATTATTAACTTTTTTTTTTTTAATGTTGCTTAATACAGTTTTAGGGAATTACACTTTTTCTAAAATTTTTTCTGACATAAGTATACTCTAACACTGAAAGGTTGTCCTCTCTCAACTTCATGCTAAATACTGGATCCTAGACTCTTGAGTGCTAAATAAAGCATATTTTTTAGCTGCAGTTTCATATTAAATTGAAAATGAATTTTTAATAATCTGCGCGTTTAGATGAAATACTAGGGAATAGTTACTAAATGTACAAAATGTTATAAGAAATATGTGTTCATGTCTTCATTATACTACATTCCATAAGGTGGTAGAATACTTGTCTGTTTTTCTTACAGAAGTTGATTCGAGTCAGTTGAGACGTCAGTTGTGTGGAGGAAGTCAGGCCGCCATAGAAAGAATGATCCACTTTGGACGAGAGCTGCAAGCAATGAGTGAACAGCTAAGGAGAGACTGTGGCAAGAACACTGCAAATAAAAAAATGTTGAAGGTGAATATATTTTTTGTTGAAAAATTATAAATGCGTCAAAGGAACTAAAATGTAGTTTTGTGAAACATTGGGCAGTGTCCTAGAAATTCTTGTTAGGGAACTTGGACCTGACCTTCCCCTTGGCTCCTTGCCCATTTGAGAGTAGAAATGTTTGATGAAGTTAGGCAGTTCTGATGTACTGGAAAGAGAATTGGACTGAAAGCAAAAAAAAAAAAAAAAAAAAGGATTAAATCCCAGTACCACTGCTGTCAACATTGTGTGTCCTCGTTAACTTAGTTTAATTCTTAGTTTTATTTTCTCAGCTGTAAAATCAGCAGTTACTAGAAGAAATGTGGGTGTGCAGAGAAAACTATAAATTTGAAATACTATTTTAGTAAATATTGTTCATGGTTATAGCAATTTGGATGTATAACACATGGTTCTTATTTTGATGGGGATTAGTGAAAAATTGGGTCACTTTTTGTGACCAGAATAGTTAAAATACATTTTAAAGTCTCTTCTGGATTGTCCATGAGCTAGTAGGATGGAAACAATTTAATTGAGTAAAGTAGCCACAGTTTTGTGTACCAGTTGAAGGTGGAGGGGCTTTCTCCTAACTGAAGTCAGCATTGCAGTTGTAGAGATGTACAGCTCTTTAACTGTTGGTTCATTATAAACATTTTCTTCTGAATATTTTGGAAGAAGACTGAAGAGTTAAAGGGGAGATGAATGTAGTGGTCTTGAGACTGATGTTTGGGTATGGTAGGAAAGGGCAAAAGATGATATGCTCATTGGAACATTTTGGATTTTTAGATTACAGATGCTCAATTAGTGAATATTTTTAAATTTGAAAAAATTTGAAATCTGAAACAGCACAAGTGTAGGATATAACATACTTGCCTGGCCTAGGATGGGCAGTAGAGCCGCCTACAACACACCTCAAGTTAAAGGCATGCAATCTTGTATTTCCCAGCTGAGATGGAAAGACAGGTGTATTTATCATACTTCGTACTTCATCTACTTGATAGTATAAAAATTGCTATTTCTAGTGGTTACCCTGAGCTATCAAAAAAGTTAAATTATTTTTAGGCTAGATAAAAAATAGTTAGTGGATTTTGTAATTGAAAAAGTCAAATCAGACAATATATCTGGAAAATGACTATCCACATTTTCCCTAGAATATTAAGATTTTCATGAAGTCAGACTATCTTATAACTCCTCCCCTTTTTCATTATTTTTTATTTTTTATTTTTAAACTTTTTGTAGAGATGAGGTCTCAGTGTATTGCTGAGTCTGGTCTTGAACTTCTGGGCTCAAGCAATCTTTCTGCTTTGGCCTCTGAAAGTGCCAGGATTATAGGCATGAGCCACCATGCCCAGCCTAACTCTTCCCCTTGTAAATATTTATCTTTTTTGTTGTTGTGTTGTGTGTGTGGTTTTATTATTTGGAGATGGCATCTCACTCTGCCGCCCAGGTTGGAGTGCAGTGGTGTGATCTCAGCTGCAGCCTCCACTTCCCGGGTTCAAGCGATTACCCTGCCTCAGCCTCCCGAATAGCCGGGACTATAAGCAGACATAATGACTTCCAGCTAAGTTTTGTATTTTTAGTAGAGACAGGGTTTCACCATATTGGCCAGGCTGCTCTCAAACTCCTGACTTCGTGATCCTCCCCGCCTTGGCCTCCGAAATGCTGGAATTAAAGGCATGAGCCACTGAGCCCGGCCTTAAATATTTATCTTAATGACTATGCCCCCACTGTGTAGCACCAAGGTAGTCAATATATGTTTATTAAATTGAAGTAGAATTTATTTGAAAAGTGTAACAGATTTTTCCACATTAGGGATTTTCATTACCATGCAACTTTGTAGAACTTTTTCTGGTACTAGGAGTGCTAAGAAAAAACTTAACATTTAGGCTCTTTATTCAAGTTATTTTAGGTGTCTAAAATTATCCATTTGGAAAACTGAGTACTTCTTTGGTAGGTACTGAGGATGTTTTAGAGCTGTTGTTTTCAACATATTTGGTGTCTGACTCCTTTAAAAATTATTAAAGATTCCCAAAAAGTTTTTGTTTATATGTGTTACATCTATCGATATTTACTATATTAAAGTATTAATTTTAAAATAACAAATCCATTAAGTAAGTAACATAAGTTATTTTTATGAAAAATAACTATCTTCCCCAAGCAAAAAAAACAAAAAAAAAGCGAGCTGGTGCAGTGTAGCTGCATGATGCCTCTAATCCCAGCTACTCAGGAGGCTGAGGCAGGAGAATCACTTGAGCCCAGGAGTTCAGGTTCAGCCTGTGCAATATAGTGAGACCTTGTCTCTTTAAAAAAAAAAAAAAAATTGGAAGAGTGGCACTGCTTTATACTTTTTTGTAAGTCACTTTAATGCCTGGTTTAATAGGTGAGCTGTATTAACATACAGACCAGACTGCATTCAGGCTGTTGTGATATCACATGTCACGTATCTCTGGAAAACTCCACTGTATAGTCATGAGGAAATGAAAGAGAAAAGGGCAAGGAACATCTTGGTACTACTATTATAAAAATAATTTGGGGCTGGGTGTGGCGGCTCATGCTTGTAATCCCAGCACTTTGGAGGCCAAGGCAGGCGGATCACCAGATCAGGAGTTTGAGACCATCCTGGCCAACATGGCAAAACCCTATCTCTACTAAAAAATTAAAAAAATTAGCTGGGTATGGTGGCACGTGCCTGTAATCCCAGCTACTCAGGAGGCTGAGGCAGTAGAATCGCTTGAACACAGGAGGCGGAGGTTGTAGTGAGCCAAAATTGTGCCACTACACTCCAGCCTGGGCGACAGAGTGAGACAGTGTCTCAAAAAAAAAAAAAAAGTTTTGACTTCACAGACCCCCTCAAAGGTTCTTGGACACAGGTGTCCTCAAACCATAATTTGAGCACTTTGTTTAGGGCATATTTGGGAATGTGAATTTTTTTTTTTTAAGAATTCTTAGACTTTTTTACACTAGGTCATCTGACTTGGTTTTCTTGTTAAAACTTTATGCTAATTAAGCAAGATGAAGAAAGATTTGATTTATGTAGTTCCTTTGAAAATTTAAGATTATACTCTATTAGCTTACTTTGTGTTTGATTCTTATTTACATGAAGCTCAGAAGATGGCATTATATGGCCAGTTCTCAAAGATATTCCTTGGTGTTATATACTAAATTGTGTGAAGATGTATCATCTTCATCTAAAGAGTATAGATGGCTTTGATTTTGCACCTCTAACTTCTGAGAAAATGCCAGCTACTTTCAGAGACTTTCTTAGTATTCCGAGCTGCTTCTATTCTCATTTCTCAAACTTATCTTAATCTAGATAAGGATAAGATGAGTAACCGACCCACCTTATAAGTAGCCAAAGAACAAGGCTGTATAATTGGAAGGCAACATGAAGAGAAAACAGGTTTAGAAATCATTCCACTTCTCTTTGTCACTTCAGTTCACTTGTAATTGTAGGGTTTTTAAAAATATCTCATTTTTAGGTTTATATAAACTTTGAGTCATTTGACTCAGAAGTTCATGCATATCCAAAAATACATGCACGCACGCGCGCGTGCGCGTACGAAAGAGAGAGAGATCTGATTAATGTTGAAGGTCAGGTGGCCCACTGTTTCTCTTGGCCGTTTTCCTTTTTAGGTTTTTGCATTCCTTTCCTCTTTTCCTGTTGTCTTTGTTCCTTATCTGCCTATGTCTTCCAGTGGCTCCCCAAAGAACTCTCGAATTGTTTGTTCAGCAGCTGTTTACTGAATTTTTGCAGTGTGGAGAGGCTTTGTTGTAGGGACCCTGGAAAGTCAAGTATGAATGAGTAGCCGTAGCCTGCAAGGAGCCTTAATCTAGTAACTGAAGTAGCAACAGAACCATTTAGTCACCCTGTTTAGAAAATGCTCCAGACTCTAAGACAAATATGAGTACAATTTGAAAATCCTACCTAAATGATGTCACATTTCCCTCAGAAGTTATTCCACTGAGGTAATGTTTTTTGCTTTAAAATAAGAAATAACCCATAATGCTACATATTTCAGGTATTTTTAGTTTCATGCCTTAACTCCCATGTTGCATATATTTTACCTAGTTAACAACTAGTGACACTATTTCGTATTCTGTTTTAATTGTAAGAATTTATTACCTCCCAGTTTCTATTTCTATTCTAAAAATAATTTATTATTATTTTGAGATGGAGTCTCGCTCTGTTGCCTGTCTGGAGTGCAGTGGCGTGATCACAGCGCCTCCTGGGTTCAAGTGATTTTTCTGCCTCAGCCTCCTGAGTTGCGACTAGAGGTGCGTGCCAGTACACCCAGCTACATTTTGGTTTCACCATGTTGGACAGAATGGTCTTGATCTCTTGACCTCATGATCCACCCAACCTCAGCCTCCCAAAGTGCTGGGATTACAGGCATGAGCCACCACGCCCAGCCTAATTTCCAATTATTTTTAAATGGTCACACGAGGCTGGGTGTGGTAGTGCACATCTATAATCCCAACATTTTGGGAGGTTGAAGCAGAAGGATTGCTTGAGACCAGAAGTTCAAGACGAGCCTGTACAACAGAGCGAGACCCAGTCTCTACAAAAAATTTTAAAATTAGCTGGGTGTGGTGGCTCATACCTGCAGTCCAAGCTACTCAGGAGGTGGAGGCAGGAGGATTGCTTGAGCCTAGGAGTTCGAGGCTCCAGTGACTTGTGATTACACCACTGCACTCCAGCCTGGGTGACATAGCAAGACCCTGTCTTAAAAACACAAAAAGGCTCCATGATATTTTATTGTTGCTGTATAGGTTTATTTCAACATTCCTGTTGTTGGATGTTTCCATTTGCTTTTATGTCAGATGCTTTAGTGACATCTTTATATGTGTATCTTTGTTTCTTAAAATTATTCCACTGAGATAAAGTTTTAGAATTGAATCAAAGAATATGAACATTATTATAGCTCTCTCTACATGTTGCCATACTGGTTTTCAAAAACCCTCTGCCAACTT